ATTTTCCTTTCTGTCCCAAAACCCTGATTGGCATCAGACTGTATCTTTTAAAAAGTTTTGCCTGACTCTTCAGTCATCTCTTTTAAGGCAACTCATCCCACCCATGGTGTCATTTCTCTTAACTCAATACCATGAAATAATTCAAGAAGGGAACAGAAAAAAAAAACCAAACCAGATCCTTCATATTCCATTTACAATCACATCCACTCTTTTAATCATCCCAGGCAGAGAAATCAGCTTACAGAGAGCACAAACCAGAGAAACACTGGTCACTCCTTAGTCAATCAGTTATTGATCTGTGTGGTCCCATGTGTTTTCTACAGGCAAGAGTCACTGAAAAACTGAGAAAATCTCAGACATCAAAGAATCAGTGATATAGGACACAGTTTGATGTTTTATGAGAAGTACTCTAGAGTCATATACAGAATGAAAGCCATTCTTGGGAGAAATAACATTCTGGAATACATCAGTAACAGCTTCATAAACATCTAACTATATATGGACTGTAATAAAAGCACTAGGACTCAAACCCTCCAGGTTTTCAGGCACAAACTCAATTTTCCATCTTATTGTTGTCCCTCTAAAGCTAATAAAATGAACAATTTCTGGAAGTAATTTTTCAACTCCCAAATTATAAGCAGCAAATTTTTACATAGGAAAAGGTTTCTGCAAAAGCTGAAAACCATTCAGAGATATTCCAGATGCATATGAGATACAAAAAAGCTATCAACAACCTTTTGACAAAGCTTTGCCTAGCACTCTCCTCTAAAGGGAAAAGTGCAATTTTCCTCCCACTGCACCTTCACATATATTTTCTGAGATCAAGTTATGGTCAAATTGCCATGTTAACCACATTTTCAATTTTCTTCATACATTTTTACAACACTCTCACTTCAGAAGTATTTACTATTATCACTCCCAGCAGCTAAGGCTGTTTGCATAAGGTGTTATTTGCCAAGAACCTGCTACTTGAAAGGAAGACCTCTTCTGTCTGCACAGCAGATTTCTCTCAGCCTTGCTGAGAGAAAAGTGGAGGGAACCAACATACTCACATGCACATGATCCATAAAGGACGGACCAGAAAATGCGTTAGGTATCCTTCTCTAACGGAACTCAAACACATTTATAAGATACTTTTTTCATGCAGTTTCAACTAATTTGCTGTAGAATTGTCATAAAGCTCTCTCAAGGGCTAAAAGCCTAACTGCAAACAGACTTACCCAGAACTTGTGTTATCACACATAACACACACCTAAGTGTTTCTAGCCCTGTTTCACTGTTGAAGGAGTAACATACAAATCACTACAACACTTAAAGGCTACCATTGGGAAGATCAGCGGAATACATCTCAAAGGAGAAATGACAAGAATTACTATAAATAGCATGTCTGGATATACTTAACCCTATTTTAACTTCACAGTGCCTTAAAACTTACTGAATGTCCTCAAGAAAAGCAGCATAATATACAGAGAACACCCAGAGCACAACTGTTAAGAATTCCTTGCCAAAATAAAGGTATATGGAGAGAGGCTCCACATGACATGTTCACAGCTTGTTCCTATCCCATATGTCAGTCATTCTCCCAGAGACTGGAAGAACAGAGATGCTTCTTCCTTCCACAGACAACATGGAGCTTGGAAGGGCCATCAATAGGACACATGTTGGGAACAAAAATGGCCACAAACAAGAAAGAAAAAAATTCTGAACAAAATCAGAATATAACTTGATAAAAGACATCTGCACAAAAACAAAGAGGAAGGCTGATTATTAGACTGCAATCTACCTGGAAAGGAGCTGATGGTCAACACAGATAAACAAATTTGACATGAAATCAGCATATTGTTCGTGCCACACAAAGGATGATTACCTACACAGCAATCCTCAGCCTAACTCAGACCACAACTTTGTTAGAAAAGGCTTCAGGATCAGCCACCCCTGAACAGCAATCACTCCAAATGGGTAATTTGGAGTGCTGCTCTGCAGCCAGCAATGAACCATGGACATTTATCCTACTTGAATGTTTGTTTCCTTTGCATTGTTAACATTTAGAGCAATACTGAATGTAAGGTACAGTGATAGATATGCCACTGATTTACTGGAGTTCTGCTGCTCACTGAAGCAGTGTTGTCCACAGGACATAATTCCTACTTTAAGAGCAAAAAATACTTCTGTATCAGAGGAAGAGATATAAGCATTAATAACAAAGAACTAAAAAACTGAGCTCTGAATAAAGGAGGGATAAAATGAGTTTTTGAATGAAACAATAAACTTCTTCTTTAGACTTTCCCCAAAAGTCTTGAAATGAAGATCACATTCAAATACTACACACCCTTCAAGAAAATTATTCATGTGCATCCCCAGAAAAGAGTGTCTGAATGTGAATTGTTAGACAATATCAGTCAGACCCTCTTTAGCAGCAGCATTTGCCAAGGGAGAATTTCACAAAGCCCAAGACCTCAACTTCTACAATGGACTGTGTATTTTTCTCACAATAAGCAGATTTATGCTTGTGTACATAGACCAGGTACAGATTTTGTTTCACTTCTTCACCCATGATTTACAAATATGTGATTCTGTTATTATATGTAGATATTAAAACCAATACTTCTACTTCTAGTTAGCCTTAATCTGTTTTAACCTATGGCCCAGCTAACCAGCACAGACCCTGCAGCGTCCACGAGTAAGAAAGGTGCTTCCCCTCCCACCACACAGATCAGATTCAGATCAGTTCCCTGCCAGAACTGGACAGAACCCAAGTGTACCCAGGGACTCACAGCAACTGAAGAAGCCCTCTAATATAAAACAGGATGCCACAGTGCACACTTATCCCCTGCAGCTACTGGGGTCTGCCGGGCTCTAGGTCACATGCAGACCTCCTGTTGATCCCTTTGTCCTCTGGAGGTGTCCTTGCTTATTCCCTTCTATGGGAAGAAGGCCATGGGCTCTGAAACCTTTCCATTATTCCAAAGGTATGTGCAGGAGGAAGCAAGGTGTTGTAATTTTTATCAGAGTGTGGGCATCTGGCAGTTTTGGAACTTGCACTAAGAAATCATTATGTTCAGAATTCTTGAAATAATATTTGAGTTCTAAATGCAAATGCATCACATTAAATAAGTCATACTGGTTTTGATATTTTTGTTTAAGCTGTGTTTACACTCCTGTGTACAGGAAATACAGAAAGACTTCAGTCTGATTGCACAGATTCATGTGGTACTTGAGGCCAGCTGATAAACAAGATCCTGGAAACAGACTGATGTGCTAATGTCCTTTTTACTGCTCTTTCCTAGAAATATAAAAATGGAGAAACAATACTAAACCAACAGTTTTGTTTCTGAAGCTTAAAAACAATTCTCCATTTTTTCTCTTCCATGATTTCATTTGTCTGGGAACTGGATAGAGAAAATACCAATTACTGTCAGAGAAGAATTAAAACTTCAGTTTTTCCTTGTGCTCACTGCAAAATCCCGAAGATAAACACATAGTAGTGGAGTGGGAAAAAATGTTGGAAAAAAGTGATTACTAACAAGACTTGTCAGTGGAAATAAAAAGAACTGAATAAAATCTCGCACTAAAATACTGCTGCTGAGAACTCCATTCAAGGAAAGAATTAGCGAATGCTAGGAAAATGTCTAAGTAGATAATTTCTATCTCAATAACATGTCAGAGTAGATGAACATGTGTTAAGATAATTAAGTTTTCTCAGTAATAAAGAAATGAAACTTGAAATGCAAAACTGTAAGTTACACTTCTGTAAGACTTAAGAGTCATAAGTGAAATATCTTTCATTTAAGACAAATTCTTGCAAAACATCTCCCATTCTCAGAATAAGCAGTTTAAATGACAATACTTTAGGATGTATTTTGGATCCCTAAATAACATTTAAATCATAAAGGTTTTCCAAAGCCATCTTCTGAAGCTATTACATGATATTTTTTTCTCTTATGTGACTAACATTAACAATGTAACAATGACCTTTTCTCTAAATATTAAAATTTTGCACTATCCCCATTCATCAGTTTATTTCCCCTATTCAGTATTGCATCTGATTGAAATATAAAAAGAATACACTTGGCAACATCCAGGATAAACACATTACAATGAAGTACACATGCTTGTAAGGTGTATGTTTCTCCTACAAAAATATTAAATTCATATATATGTTTGCTTGTCTATGTGAGAAAACATTTCTGTTGTACTTTTATGAGGTCTTGGGCTATAAATTATTTGTGTATTGACTGAGTCTGGAGTGAATGTCTTCAACCATACTTATTTAAATCTTTCTCCTAGTTTCCAAAGTTTAAAGACAAAAAAAAAAAAAAGCAACAAAAAAAGCACTATTTAAGTGTGGCTTACACAAAATCGATGCTTTATTTTCTATCACTGCACAGAGAAAGCAATAAATTATACTTAAATCATACTTCAGCACCTGCAAACATTGGAGCCACTGTTTAATCAACATGCTCTTATCCTTGCTCTCCAACAGATAAAGTCTTTAACATGTTAGGCAGTGTATGTTTTTCATAATGTCAAATTCCAAAAAAACTTGCTGAAATCAATTGTTTCCTTTATGAGAGCTCCAGTACACCCAGACATATCAAAGAAAAGTATTTTTATGACACTGTACTTAACTACCTTCCTCACTTCTTCTCTTTTCCCTTCTCTCAGGGCCCTGCTTCTTTTTAACAGAATGTCATCACTGGGCTGAAAGCAAATTAAATTTAAACACTAATACCTAAATTACTGACATGTGCCTTTAGAAACAACAAAGCTCTTTGGCCTATATTTTAATATTACAATGCAAAAATGTAGCAACCAGACGCTCTCTGGCAGAAACTAAATACTACTCCTCTGGCATTTTGCTGAAAAAAAACATTTTAAGAAATATGTAAATTCGAAGAGGTTTATATCTGAGATCAACAGACTGTCCAAAGAACATGAAATAAATACTAATGAAAGGCAAATGAATACCAGAATCTGAGTTCAAAAAAGTTTGTACTTACTCCTTATTTCTGCATTGAATGCATGGCTGGTAAAGGACTTTGACAGCATTCCAGGTTCCCGCTGGTCCAGAGGTAGGTGTGAGGATATCTCCAAACAGTGTAAAATCACTGTGGGAGGAGGAATTTCCTAAAGACTCTACCAGCAATGTGTCAGAATTTAAAAGCCATATCTATAAATGAAAAATAATTTAATTTACTGTAGATTACATGCACTTCAATTTGTTACTTTACTCTGACCCTAAATCAGCTGATACTAAAGCCACACTCTTATAAAGTTTCTAACAAAGTATTAACAGACAATAATTGGTATTTTATTATTCAGCACAGTCTCTACAGCTAGCAGAGAAAAAAGGGTAATACAATACTGATTTATCAGTCACTATTAAGATCATTACTCTGAAGTTGCCTCTTTTTTTGACTGTAGCACATTCTCTTTAGTAGAAACAAAAGAAATACCCCAAGTCATCTCTTTCAGTACCAAATGTATTACTTCTCCAACTTCATATTTTTAGGCATTAGTCAAACATAAGGTGTTGAGCAACTGAGACAGGGAACTGAAGGACTGCCCACTGAATTCCTAAAAATTGAGGATTTTTAGAAGCAGCATGGTAGTTATGACTCTATGGAGCTAACACATGCAAGGAAAAAGACAATCAACGTGGTCTAAAAGGCATGTTGGAATTTACAAACAGCTGCAGCAGACCCTGACTTGGAAAATAAACATCAAATTTCATAATGGGGCTGGCATTCTTCAGCACTATTTGGTCACAGAAATTTGAGACACTTATTGGGGAGAGTTTTGAGAAATCTGAGCTTTTTGCATCCCATCATGGATCTTCTTTGTGTGATTTGGTATCAGTGTTCTGACTTGGATCCAGGGCTTTTCTGCTAAACACCATACAAATAAGTCAGGCTTTTCCTTAAATCACAGCCTGAAGTAGTAAAGTGATCCAAGTTAACAATGGAAATCAATTTTTACAAATCTGTTACCTGTATGAAATGTTTATATACGAAAAATTTATCATAGAAAATGGGATTTATACAGTTTTGCTCACTAGAGAGCAATCTTCTGCTTCTCATGATCTAATCAGCTTCAAGTAAAACAAGTTACATGATGTTGGGTAGCAGACACATGATATCCCCTGTGGAGGGAGAACACCATCATTAACAGGACACATAGTGTATGTTGTAATTGAATGTGACAGTCACAATTTATCAGAGCCTAAGGCTCAGAACATTACAGTGAAAGCTTCATAAAGAAGGAATGAGATATATTGATAAAGATATCTTGGGAGGGGATGGGAGGAGGAGAATCACTTTAGCATATGCACATGAATGATGACAAGCAACCACACTTGGCTTTGCAAGTGGTCGTTCATCAGTTTTGCTCTGCTAACTCACTGTACACATTTATAGCCTAAACTGCAAAATATACCTCATTAGCTAGGACCATTACACAAGGCTCTTAAAGCCAAGTTCTGAAGAGGTGTTGGAAGAAAATGCTGCAGAAACACAGGCCACTGCCAACACAAACTGAACAGTCTCTCCCTTTTGAAATTTCTAACAATTCCATGTGGAAAGAGCTTCCCGGGATACTTTTCAGAGGAATATCCCTCAAACTAGATAAGGGAACAATGTAGCAACAGCTGTCTGCTCCTTTCAGAATCCTTCTGCAATCTGCTGCAGAGAAAGCAACCAAAGCATTTAATTCGCAACATAGTCCATTTGAAAAGCACTTCTTCCTACACAAGTGCTACATGTGGCATCTTACAATCATATTCTAGAACTTGTATGAGTATCTTTGTCTCAACAGCAACACAACAGATCTGTATAAATTATTGATTTAAATTATTTAGCACACAATACAGAGAAAGCAAATGAATTTCTGGGGATGGAAGGATTCCCATCCATGACGAAAATCAACTTCTGAACTACATTTACATCTTTAGGCAGTATTTTGATTCTTTTCTTCATGTATGAATTATTTTTTGATGTTATTTTCTATCTGAGTGAACAATTGCTCACCCTGGCTCAGTGTGTTGACTAAGAATTTTATACATGTATTTCTGGATAACACAGTTTCATATTTTGAGCTGTGCTTTCAACTATGTTACTCACAACCGGCAATCTTTCCTTTCTACCTCTTTACAGATGAGTTTGTACAACCAAATTTCTTCCATATTACCTCCAGTAGGAAAAGAACCTTTACAGAAAAAAATATACATAAAGTGTAGAATTCATTCACAATGCCATTGATGACCTTTTCTGAAACGACATAATCAGAAAAAAAGTACTTGGGGGATTATTGGTCTTCTTTTCACTGTTTTCATTCGGTTTCAAATAATTTTGTCAGGAGACTTAAAAGATGTTATTTGGAGAAAAGTTGCAACAAATCTACCCCAATTATACTTCATGGGACTTGAAACAAACAGCTGAAATACCACAATTTAAATTCTGTGATCAGTTTTCCTGTATTTCAGCCTGAGTCTCCAGCATCAATTTGTGGACAATTAGGCATCAATTTGAATTTAGCATAGGTTAAAAAACCCCAAAATATTTTATTTTTCCCTGCTAGTTCTCTCTTAATTATTGCAGACATTACCATTACTTTCATCATCACACTGGTCACGAATGCAAATATCTTTCTTTACAGATATTTTGTATTACACTCAGAGTGTTCAGGTAAAGATGTGATTTCCACATATTTCACAAGGAATAAAGCTAAGAGAGCTGGATAGCTAAAGTCTCAGTAAGGTTCTCATTATCTCACTCTTGACCACTGCAAGTCCATCCCATCTCCAATCTTAACAAATACAAATCGTTTCTGCTCATGTCCTTCAAGACAGGGACAATCATCACTCTGACAGGTCTCTCCCGATTTGTTACGCATTAATTTCCTTGGGATATCTTCCAACTCCCTCTCTGCTCACTCCTGAAATACAAGCTGCCTCACTTCCAAATCACTTTACAGTCTAATCCCACTCCAAAAAACATCTTTCCTTCAATACTGAAAGACTGGAGATAGTGTTCAAAGAGTCCAAACCACTGCACACCTTTTGATTTTCACAGACATAATCTTCCTAGGTCTTATGAGGTTGATCCCATCCAGGTGATGAATTCCCTGTATCTATCCAGAAAACTGCTTATTTACTGCTTTCAAAGCTACACTTTTTTATAGTATAGAAAAAAATAGGTATCTATTGAGATGCTGCTATGCTGAATAATAATGTAACATTTTGCTGGTGTTCTCTCATCTCCCTATCTGTTTGCTGTTCTTCACTTATTCTTAGCCTCTAAGTCATGCAACTACAAGGCAGAGAACCCTTCAACAGTGGAGCAAAGAGAGGAGGCAAGTGATCCACAAATGTGAAGAGGGAAGAGATACAGTTAGGACAAATAAGGATATCTGTATGTACCACTTTTTTTCCCCTGAAACCAAGAAACTTTTTTTTTATTGACATCCCTTAAAACTAAAACAAAACAAAACACAAGTAGTATATAGGTTGAACAACAGAACATGTGTAACTTAACATTAATTGGGAAAGTGATACATACAGAGGAAATGAGCAAAATAAGTATACATATTATTTGTAGTTCAGAGAAAATGAGGAAAATAAGTATACATATTACTTGTGGTTTAAAATAATTAATGAGACTTGTGAGAAACCTTAATCTAAATTATCACCTACACAGTCTAAGCTGTGTGTATTCACACAGGTAAGCACAAAAACTGAGAACTAGAATCTTTGGCTCATTATCAAAACAAAAAAATGAGACAGCTGATTCATGATGCATCAGTGAAGAGACTACTCGTGTAACTTGGCTGTGTGCACACAGCTTCAAGCACCCACATGTTACTGTTTACCTGTTGACAATCATTAATATAAACTGAGCTTACATTATACTTGTGTCCACAAGGCCTCTGAGTCCTAAGACTTAACCCATGACTCCAGAACAGCTGTTGATGTGTATACAGCAGGACTGGACTGGAGTAAGGACTTTTGGATGTCAAATACAAAAAACATCTGCAAAAAACTAACAACTAACCAATATAAAAGAAGAGATAAATGCCAATCAGAAACCAGTCCCTAACTAATTCAGCCTGCTCCTCTAATCAATACACTGGCAAAAATGCAGCTCAGAGCTAAGAGTAATGGCAATCTACTGAATGAAGTGATTTTTCTGTTAAAAAATAACCGGTTTGCTGTATCTAAGCTACTAGACTTAAGCACTGGAATTTTACATAACTTGGGAACAGATAAGCTAGAAGGAAAAAGTCACAATGATTTTTAATGACTCCTCAATTAGACAATATATAATTATGGGTCTGCTCATGGGACCTTCATTTAATCATCATGGAAGAGATATTTTTCAGTGGTTGTACAAATGTTGTCTTGGCACTAAAATTTATTTAAAAACAACAGATATACACTTTCCTCAGCATCTGGATGTTCCAAAATCACAGAACTTGGATAATGCATATATAAAACAGTTTATATGATTACATTGCCTCAAGAAAGTGCATTTATAAGTTTATCCAGCGCAGGAATCTCTAATCATGTATTTCTTTATGTCTATGAATTATTTCTATAAACTTAGAAAATTCAAATTCTATACCCATATTTAGTTCAGAAATAAAAGGAAACATCCCTGATTATACTAAGTGTACAGTATTTAGGTAACTCCTATCAATCGTAAAAGTTTGAAGAATCTAGCTGTCACTATCTAAATACCAAGCTTAACCAAGTTTAACAGCATTAGAACATTAAGTTTAATAGGCAATTCTATTTCTGTTTGCACTTCACTTCGCAATGCAATGTACTGACTTCATTAATAGTCCCTGCTAACTTGAGACAATGCTTGTGGAAGATGCTATGCAATTTCACTCACTTGTGGTGATTAAAGAAAAGCAGTGCTGGAGCAAGAAGGTGAAATATATATTAAAAATTAAAACTTAAGCTTTCCATATTTTTTGGATACAAAATAGTGTTATTTCTGTGCTACTTATGGTAGCACTTTCATTACTGTATCAATAAAATTTCTATGTGCATATCTAATTAGATTAAAAACTCGGGGATACTCTTACTTGAACAAATGTACCTCAGAACCACTTCAAACATTTGAATTTGTTAATTTTTTAAACCTACAACAATTAACAGCATGAATAATACATTTTAGGAACTGATATAGATAGGTTAAACTTCTTCAGCAAGACACAGAGTTAAAAACTTACCAGCATATAGGTTTTTCCATTATCTCCTTTTATGGTGAATCTAAATGTGCTTTTAGCAGATGATAATTCCAAAAGACACTGAGCAACCATGTTCTGTACAAACTGAGACCTGTTTAAGAATTAACCACATATCATATGCTTTTATAACAACTACACAGACAATCATTCATATTGATGCACTACAGGTAAATGAGTAATTCATACTTCAATTCCACTACATCCTAAAACCACATTTTATAGAAAGATGGGGCTTCTTTATCTTCCTCTCACTCAAAACCAGAGACCTTTTTATTTCCTGCAACAGGAATTTTTTAATAGATCAGGATTCTAAATTGCTTCACATCCTTTATTTTGGCTGACACCAACTGTCAAATGCTGAATAGAAGCTTTTCTCCATTATATTTTACACATATGAACACAAAGTTCAGAATTATGCATATATTTCAAATATAATTCCCAAAAAGAAAGAACTGTGATTAAACCATTGTACATGATACCAGCTAGCTAGATCAAGTTCTGTTTCATTTTAGTCTTAAAAATTCAAACTGAATTACTTGAAAATTCAAAAGTCTCACTTCCAAGTAAACATTTCATGCTTTACGTAATTTAACTTTACACGACATAAACTTCTGTTTCCATAATTAGTCACCAATTGTGCCAACTTAAATAGTTCAAAATAAAAAAGTATTTTATTTTGGCTTATCACCTGAATAGTGAGACACTGTGACAAATTATACAAAATTTCCTGCATCACACACAAAGATGAGAAAACAAAACTGTACATGAGTAAATTCAGGCTACTTTGCCTTTACAATGTTTAATTCCGTGATGATTACATAAAATTGAACTCTGTTATTATATATAATTATTCAAGAAACGACAACATTAGAGCATTTCTAGCATCTTTTCTAAAACATACACTTGAGAAAATTATCTGATTATTTTGTTACCTTGGTATTGGACTGAAACTTCCCTCAGCTGGTTGAATAATCACCTCAGTGACGTAATATTTAATGGTATCTAAAATATCAAAAAACATATTTCGACTATAATAGAATAACCAACTTATTAGACTGTGAGTCACCATATCACTATTCTAATTAAACATTTGTTCAGTAGTCAATTAAGAGATACAGCAGAAAATCATATTTTGCTTGGGTTTGTAGGAGTAGAAGCAGCCATAACAAAAAACTCACACTGCCTGAAGAAATCTGCTCCCAGCTAATTATAAGATCAGCAATTTCTCATTCATATTGGTCTTTGTTTAATGCTAGGAACAATCATCTTGAAACCAAGCAAGCAAGAGCTCAAGCCAAACCTGAAAGATGAATTGAAAGAACTTTCCTAAAGCACTGAGATCAGCATAGCTTACATAAGTATTTTAGTACCCTCTGCTGCTTAGTAATGCTGCAGTGAATCACTAGAGACAGTTTTAATAACAGCTCACACGGGGGAATAATTTTCTTCTTTGCTCAAAGAGAAGAACAGAACTTCTTTACAAAAATCACACTCACTCAACATTAACACTGCATACATTCTGAATTTCAATGTAACTGTTCACCAAAAGCCCCACTAAGACAGCTTTTAACACTAAATGGAAGTGTTTGAGGATATAATTTAATCCCCGTCAATGAAGCCAAATCAAAGATGATCACATTGAAGATCTGGGTCTGTGCTGCAAATACAGCCTAACTAGAGGGCCAGCAAAACAGGTTAAGAGTAATAAATTCATTCTACTAAGCCTCAGTATGTGAGCAACTGGAAGATTCATTTGGTCCACAAGTTTTAAGGATGGAAGAGTTTTATCTGATCTCTGTCCACACATACCATTAAAACTGGACGAGAGCAAACATTTCAGGAAGACACTTGATCTGTTTTAAACCCTCCAAAGGTTTGGTAATCCCACCCCTTCCCCAGGCAAATACTACACTTTCTAAATTATCTTCACTGTTAGGAAATTGTATTTTACTTCTAAATTTTATTAAGTCTGCTCCATGCTAGGTGAATTCTTGGAGACAGGAAGAAAAACTAGTTCAGTCTCTCTAGCTCCTCAGCCATTACCCTGAGTAAGGAATTGGTGCTACTGCTACAAGGGCATTTGGAATTCAGGAGATGTCTGCTTGCAGAGAGATAGAAGGTGTGACTTCCCAAGAAAAAATCATACGAGTATGGATAGAGCTGGGGGAAGGAATAGCCCATGAGGGAATCTCTACAGCTACACTGCTCTAATCCTGCTTTATCTTCAAGACACTGATACCTGCTCATGAGGAAGACTCAAAGCATGACAGTCAAGTTTGCCCTCTAGCTTCTTTTCACAGAAATGGTTCTGCCTAGACTTACACTATACATCTCTTTTGTTCTCTGAATTCTATAGAAATTTCCTGCACTACTGAAGGAACATGGCCAAAACAATGGATAGCCTATTTAAGTTCAGCCATTTGCAGAGTCCATACCAAATCCCTGCACATCTGTAGTGTTTGCCTTTCCCCATTCCCACTGATTTATTAGTCATGACCTTGTTATTCATGCTCTTTTCTCAGCACTCCTTTCCTGAAGTCACATCTTGCTTTGTGGGCTTTCAAACATTGTACCTTAAATTTGGGTTCGTTAAAGCCTGTATTGCTCAGATCCCTTTACAGGACAATCAGAACATTTTGTAACAGAAGACCTTTTGTCTTGTCTCTCCTTATGACATTTCTTAAACAGGCTTTGCATTTTCTGAGAAGTTTTTATATTCACCAGATCTCTGAAATGAGGCAGGCTCCCACTGACTGATGCAGTGGAAGAGACAGAGAAAGAAAGAATGAACCCTGCTAATAACAGTCTTACCATTGCTTCTCTTCCATTAATAGCTGAATTTTAAAACAACCAGACACTCATCTTTCCACCACTTCAGGTAAACGCTGCTGATCTAATATAACTACAGTTTTTAAACTGATAATCTCATCAGCTCATCATTGGATGAGGATGAGACATAACCTGTTTCTTTAAAAGGCTTCCTTCCCACAAAACCCGGCTGACTGTTGGCAGTCTCCAGCTTGTAGCTGTGTTGATCAAGTTCTGAATCTACCTTTCACTTTATTCTGTAAAACTGACAGGAAAACAAGCAATCTGTAATTTCTCAAGTCTCCATTTTTACTGTGATTCCTTGTAAACTGGAATCATGCATTGAGTCTTCCAAGGGGTTGGAATTAGCCAAATATGCCACAGAAACAAGGATAATGAAAATTCCCGCTGAAAGTCACTTTCAAGGTCTAACACTGGAAGCAACAACCAGAAGGGAATGAGACAAACACACAGGAATTATTACTGGACCTTATTGAAAAACCACTTCCCTTCAGTGTTTTTAACTTCCAGTGTTCAATGGCTGACGCAGTCAAATCTAGTTTTGCTTGGACATCTCATACCTGATGAAACTGTTTCTCCCAGCATTGTCTTGCAGCGCTTACAAATTACTCTGGTATTTTCTTTTGACTTCTGTAGGACAAAAAATATCATTTAAATGTCACTCAGATATTCTGAAAAAAGAATGCATAGCTGTAACATAATTTACAGAGCAGATAGGAAACTTTTTACTTGTTTCTATCCTCTTTATGTTTATATGCATACATATTTGCCATCACTACTTCAGCTTTCTACACTTGGACTCGCTTGCAAGTCTCATACTAATTTTAAAATCTGGCAATATATCCACATAGTACAATCTATAATGGCTAACAGGAGAATCCTGTAATATTGAGTGACTGGATGATAAAATTATAAGCTAAATTCGATTGTGCTAAGGGTAAAATAATGCACCTGAAATGAAGTACTCCATAATATATACATAAAATAGTATGCTGCAATGTGACTACCATTACTCAGTAACAAGTTCTAGCCACTGTGGACAGTTTTATAGGAGTTGAATACCAGTTCAACGTTCAGCAGAGAGCAGAAAATGTCTGCAGATTATTTTGAGTTACTAGGGAACAGCTGAAGTACACAACACAGCACAATATTCCAGAAAGGTGCAGTGGATTCTGTTCTTGAACAACCCTTCTCCCTCTATTCAAACAAATACAGAAAAAGTATTTACAAAGAATAAGAATAACTATCAGAAGTGGAAAACAGTTTCCATATGTGGCATGAAAATACACCTAACAGGAGAACATATGGAAGACAGAAATCTGAGGGATATTGAGATACCTAAAATCACAAATGTTTAGGAAAAGCTGAACAGAAAAAAACAAACATATGCCCTCATAGTTCATGCTATGAAATTCCAACCCTGTTTGTATCAAAAAAAAAAAAAAAGGAAGGCATTTGTCACACTGTGCATAATATAGTTCAGTACTCACTGTAGGAAAGCATTTTACATATTAAAAGTATACACAAGTTCAAAAAATCTACATAAATTCAGGAGAAGCAATGTCATCAAGGGCTTATCAAAAATAGCCTTTTAAAAAATTAAATATTAAAAAAAATTGCTCTTTTAATTAAAAATTAGAAATTCACAAATAATGTGGATAACAATATCTAATTCACAGAGTCTCTACATTCTCCAAAACATTACTGAATATTTTTCTTAGCTTTGTGCATCTATTACTGTCCTTTGAAAAGATCTCATTTCTATAAGAAATCTACCCAATAAAACTCCTACTTATTACAGTGTTAATATTTAAATTAAATACACCAAACAAGTAAGCACAATGCCTACTTTAATCCAAAGTCTAAATTTCAGAACTGGTTCTGTGTGGGCTTATTAACCTGGGTGTAGCACATTAGAGCTGTGGTCTGAAAGCAGTGCATACATATATTACCTTAATGACAGTCAAAATCAGAGAATCAAACTAAAAGCCTGAGAGCTGACTATGTTGGAAGTACAGTCTCCTTGTTATGGAGATCAGGAAAATCATCTGGTTGGTATATACACAGTTATCCCCTCTCCCAATTCCTACCATGCTACTCCTCTCAAACATATGCAGTGAAATTACTTGCTCAGTGTGAAAAGCAAGGATAAACAGACAAGACTTTTTGTGTAAGCCAGTGTTTGAGACTGGTACAAATACTGCACAGTACAAGTACAGAATACACAGTACTTCCCTGAAAGCTACAACTTCAGTATTTCTTTCCTGACTACCGTTACAGGTGCTGACTGAGAATTGTGCCTAAAAAACATCACTAACTCATTGTATCATGCTTCAATAGCAAACGGGAGAGTTTTAGCTCAACTAATTAAATCAATTTATCCATTTGACAACTTGCAGCTGCTGGCAATCTGAAGATACAGGTGGATCACAAGCCTAATAGTTTTTGTCTCTATTCCTAAGGATCCCTGATATGGTGTCAGGAAAAATATTTTCCCCAAGAGATACTATTAAGATGCTGCAAGCCCATGTGACATTTAAGAACTATGTTACACTGAAAGACTAATAGATGTGAAAAATATGTTTGCAATGGACGGATGCTGTCTTGGTCCCACTGGAATCTGGAAAAGATTGTTTAAGCATCTCTGGTACATTCCAGCTACTATTTTGGTCATAGGCAAACACTTTCCAAAAAACTGCAATGCAATTAAAAAGGAACTTTCATACTAGGGCAGACTGCAACAATATTCTCTAAAATGAGAACACTTATGCCAATAGCAATCTGTCTTTCCTGTAACTTTCTATTACTCATATTATGGAAGAATTTTCTGCTTCGGTATGAGGGGTTTTTTTTTCCTTATTAGTCTAGCTTCTGCTGGATCTAACAGTTGTGCTCATTTGCTTGGCAACTGAGTGATGCTGGAAATAAGCAAACACAGAAATGAGAATTCATTACAAGTGTGAAAGATGAAAAAAAAGGGATTGGACACAAACAAGGAACAAATTCTCAACTTCAATGCAAGTATAAGGAAGCAAACATGAAAACTCATCACACTAAACTACTGTTGTATGCTTCTAACATAAAACAGCCTCCTCCCTCATTCAAAAATGCTGTTGTTATCCTGGTTCGACCCACATCTCAATAAAATCTTTGTTCCACATCCTCATTACGTTTCTGCCTCCAAATAAATCCTTTTCTCACAAACATTCTCTTTGATGAAGAAGTATGCAATATGAACCCCATGTGCCCTGCCTCTTCCCATATTTATTCCTGATGTTCTAAGATCTCTTTTATGACTACTGAACTGTGAGAATTCAGGCAACCTTTGGCAGAAAGCATTGTCTTCTTGCAAATTTAGTATCATCTACTCCACCTCCTTCTTAAGGAAACTTAGAAGTAACTCCATTGTCACAGAGTTAAGCCAAATTAATCTGCTTCTGCCATGCTGGTACCCTTACAGTGTATCAGTACTTATTTTCCTCTCTGCATATTCTGTTTTTCAAAGAACAATGGAACAAGAAACCCAAGGGACCACAGCTGCAAGCCTTACAGATAGGGAACAGGACAGAACTGCTCCCCATGCAGTGGGATCGCTTGGAGCATCACACCAGCAGCCAGTGAACTGCAAGAATCCTGGTGACTCTTACTGGGGATAATACATATCACTATAAGCAGCAGGAAGAAATCAGGGTGTCTGGTTCTCAAGAGATTAAATGTTTCATGCTGGAAATCTCTACAGAATAAGTCATCGATTGTTACAGATACAAATTGCCAATACAGCAATGCAGACATTTTAATACTTGGTATTGGGAGAAAATACAGCATGTGTAGGTCCAATCTTCATCAGCACAAATGCAGACAAGCAGTAGATTAACAGAAAAGGCTTTATGGAAATGTAGGCTTTGGTAAACTGAGTTTCTGGATGTTCTTCTGGCAGAAGAAAAGATCATTGCTTGAATTTTTATACAAGTGCTAGATGTCCAAAAGTTAAGCACTGAACTGTCTTTCTTCATGTCTTTTATCCCACCACTGAAACATACACACCCTTAAAAATGTATTTTCTGGGCAACAACAAATTTTGATGTTTCTAAGCCAAATGACAGCCTTCTTCCTACAGACTTGGTTGATGAAACTATCTTGTCCTGGAACACCTCAGAAACATCAACATGAAGAGCTACAATATGGAATGGCAGGTTCCTTTCACTAGACAGAGCAGTCAAACAAACTCAATTTCCTTACTATGCTTTAAGAACCTAAGATAGCCACATCTAAATGCAAAGCACACATTCTGATATTTCCAAGTCTTTCTTAAACTAAAAAAAAAAATAAAATTAAAAAGTCAAAACTTCTCTTTAATCATAGTTATGATTGTGTCTCAAGTCACAGTGTAAGAAAAAAATAATTGTTACATCAATTTCCACCTCATTCTTTGCTCCACTACCCTTTAACAAACACCTAACCCATCAGTTATTATCATACTAAATTGTGATGTCCTTCACTCATGATAATTTTGGGGGAAAATATCTGGGTTTAGAACTACATAATTAAATAGCTTCTATTTATAGTACTAAGTTCTACCTGCATACTGAGGCCAATATCAAGACTGTGGTGTGAGCTTTAGAAAATGTGAAACATTGCCTGGAATATTTTCTGGCTTCTGTACAGCTGAATGTGAAGAACTCCCTATGACCTTCAAAATAGTTCTGCAATACATATAAATTATATAAACTAGGAACAAAAGAAGTGTTTTACAATGAAAAAGTCCTAAAGTTCACCTAAAAACTATTTGAAGAAAATACTTTACCAAGTTGGAGCCACTATGTGAAACATGGTGTCCAGCATCTGAGCAGCACCCGGGAGATGCAGGCAGATGTGATTCATCTCCTGAATTCAACAGAAAAAAATTGTCTCCAACAAAACAGTCACCATGCTGAGGGTGCAAAGTGCTTCTGGCAAAGGGGTCAGGGTGACAACACCACTCTTCAACTAAATCACTCCAGTTTTCACTCGGCAGAGGAAGAACTCTGAGAAATTTCCTTAGAGGGAAGAAAAGACAAATATTTCAGTATGTTCTAATTAATTTCTAAGACACTTAAAGAGAGTTTGGGCTCCTACAAGTAGTGGGGGAAGCATGGCATTTTCTTAAAAAGAAGTGCTTGACTCTCTTTCCAGCCAAAGGCACTTCCTTTGGGTGAATTCTGAGAAAGTAATGGCTGAGTTTCCTGCCAAGTCTGTGATGAAGCATTTCCCAAGGGTGAATCTCCAATGATTATAAGGCAGAACTTGACATAGTCCTCTCTTGAAATTAATAACATGGCAGAAATAAAACAGTTCTACCCAGTTATGAAAAATATGACTATGAGCATTTGCAATTACATTTATTATTACTTCTTGTAAAGTACCATTGCACCAAATATTGATATAAAACCAAAAGAAATAGACTCATGACACAGCAAGATCCAGCATGTTCTTTGTTTCAGATACGAGGCTTGAAAAAGCTAAAACCTGAAAAATATACCACAGTACATCTTCATTAAAAATCCCAAACAAACAAAACAACAGAAAAAGGATAATTCAATCTTAATTTAGATTTAGATACTCAGATCCAAGTTTCAGAAGACATATACAAAAAAGGCAAATCCCCTTCTCCTGGGTAGCTGCATGAACCAAGGATACTGCTTCTGGAAATACTACCTTGTTTTCATTATCAGTTGTATTGGGTTTTCATTTTCTGCTCTCTGCCTAGTTTCCTTGAATGCCTTCCCTTTCTTCTAAGGGAATGGTTACCCTATTACTTCAGCTGTCTCCTGAAATCTTCACCAGAGTTTCTTGATTCTACTCCTTACTTAAAACTTGCAAATACAACTTTGCTTATGGTGCTACTTCGCAAATAAAAACACAGCTGCTAAGCCAACAGTTACGCATCCTCCCTTTCCTGCAGTTCCCAGACTAACATTTTGTGAATACGTCAGTTCTTCCCACTGTAGCTTCTTGGCCCTTTTTGAATTGTTTGGTGGGTGAAAGAAAAATGTTTCATTAAAAAAAATCCTTTTTTTCTAAATAGACAATACATTTTAAACTCTGCTTGCTCCACCTGCAGATGAAAGTTGGAATAACTCATCCTCTGATGCAGCTTTACCAAAACTAAATAAGATCACTTCTCAGCATTACCCGTGTCTGTCTTCATTTTCTGTGGTTTTATATATTGCTTGAGATACTACTCAATTCTTCCAAAGTGACAGTTTAGTTCTGATTTTATTTCTGATGTTGGCCTAATAACTGATTCTTTATCAGCCTTTTCAATTAGTTCCAGTGCCTGGACTCATGCTGCAAAAAAAAAATCTTTCTGTATTGCTTTTTACACAAAAGTACCAAAAAGCTGGTATTGCTCAGTAATGTTGTTACAAGGGGAAAAAAAAAAAAAGATTACCTTAAACTGCAGACTCATGCTGTCCTGTTTCATCACATCAACCTTTCTTTACTCTCACAGTCTACAGCATAAAGATCTTCACTTCTTTTCCGACAAAAGCAGTTTTTTCAACTAGTAGGAATTTCCTAAACAAACTCATCCTAACTCTGAGCTATACAGAAAATATACCATTTCCAGTGTATTTTAGGCTTTTGACACTCATGGGTGGAAAGACATATCCTGGGTCACCAGAACTGGAAAAACGAACACTAATAAAAATGGAGCCTTCCTAGAAAAACAAACAAAACAAAACCAACATGAGGTTTACTAAGTACTGACTAAATTGAGGCTACTAAATAACATGATAAAACCTAGAAATCAGGGTGACTTATCTCCCCAAACTTGCTCCTAGTAACAACTGACTTTCTATTTGAAGATAGACACCTAGGCTGCCTTCACAGTCAGAGAGCAACAAACAGTTCTTAGGTTGGGATCGTTAGGAGTAGCTTTCTGCTTAAAGTGTCTAACCTAGCCAGGCTGAATCTCCTGATATAGACAGTTCTCAGATTCAAACCAGAAAAGTAAGTAATTAACTTATCTTTAAAAAGTTTGAAGTTAAGCACTAGTCTATAAGAGCCCTGCCATAAGGATATAACTCTTAAATGATCTTCCATGCTAAGGTAAATATTTGACCATAGAGACTCCTGTAAGACTGGATTAAGTAAAGTAACTCCAAATGTCATTATTAATTAATACCTAGTAATACCATTCTGTCTATTGAAAATACTGAAAACTGGAAGTAAAATGGACTTTAGACTTTTAAACATAAAACTGTTCAATTCCATCAGAGACAAAGAAAAAACATCTGCATTTCTTTAACTGCAGTCTCCCTTATTTGCCTACTAAAAAATCTTGGGATAGCCCAGCTTGACAGTTAACTGTCAGGCTTAACACTACTTAAGTAGGAAAAGTGTAATTAGATTTCCCCTGCCATAAGTTTTTCAATGGAATATTTGTGCAGTACCAATCATTATCATACAATCATAGAGTATCCTGAGTTGGAAAAATCCTCAAGGATCATTGCATCCAACTTCAGGCCCTGCACAGGACAACCTGGAGTTTCATACCATGTCCAGATGCTTCTTGTAACTCTAGCAGGCTTGGTGCTATGACCACTCCCCTGCATTACATTTGCATGGCAAGGTTTTAGTAGTAGAGGATCTCCATGGATAGATTATGTGCTATAGCTGCCAGAAGCTTCCCCCATGTGTGATAGAGCCAATGCCAGCCAGTTCCAAGACAGACCCACCACTGGCCAAGGATAACACCATCAGCAGTGGTAGCGGCTCTCTGAAAATATATTTAATAAAGTGGGAAAAAACATCTTGCAGTCAGAAGAGTAAGAAAATCTGAGAGCAACTGCTCTGCATACACCAAAGACAGTGAAGAAGGAGGAGAAAAGGTGCTCCCCTGCTGCAACCCATGAAGGTCCACAATGGAGTAGATGGATGCCCTCTATGAAGGACCCCACACCAGAGCAGATGGATGCCCGAAAGGGTCTGTGGCCACATGGGAAGTCTGGCAAAATCTGTGGACCCATGATAGAGAGTGAGAAGCCCACACTGGCACAGGTTTGCTGCCAGGACTTGTGACCCCTTTGGTTACATTTTGTTCCTCCTGTCCAGCTGATGAGGGGAGCAATAGAGTGGTTTTGGTGGGCACCTGGCATCCACATACCACAGGCCCTTAAAAATTTCTTCATGACAGCAATAATGCCTTAAAGAATTATTTTATATATGAGGTACACTTAGCCCAACTGAAAGGAGAGAAAGAATAAAGAAAGTGTCCCTAATTCCTTGCAGCTCTTGCATGATGGAAGAAAAAAACAATCTAATAATTTCCTCTAATGTGGATAATGTGAGGACAATGGAAAAGAATGAAAGAGCATATCCCTAACCTCTGAAGGGCTATCAGATTTATGGAAGGAAACATACTGAGGCAGTGGATTTCAGAAAATGTATAGAGTCAATTTCTGTGCACCAAGGAAGGATTACTTACATTTAAGAAGGTTTCCTATGCAGTCCCTAACAGTAAAAAAAAAAAAAGCTTTAGAATAGATTTTTAACCTAGATTTCTCTTGCTTCAACTGAAGATTACTGACACCTTCTTTGCAGCCACTTCCTAGATACTGGAAGAATCTTATGTCTTCTCCACAACCTTATCTACACTAAATCCCATTTATTTCAATTTCTTCTTAAAGATATGATTTTCTAGATCTCGTGTTTTTCTTATTACAGACCCTTTCCTAGTAATTCAGACTTTAACATACTCTCTTTCACACAGTTCTGCAATTTCCCTTCAATCCTTCCACCTCTGCTGTCACTGTCATACTTAACTCTTCCTGGAGAGAGGAACACATGAATTCTTTAGCTATAAGTTCTGACTATGCTACTCTCTTCCTTTTGGAAATGCTGGAACAGAATGTGTTTGATACACTGGAAGCTCCACTCTTCTACTCTTGTCTGAGGTTTTTTTAGTGGCAACATTCAAGGGGTTCAGAGGCTCCCTGTAAAGGAGAAATGCCAGGTGAAAAGCCATGGATGTGCATTCTTTTCCCTTTCCCAAAAATTCTGCTTGTGTCATGTTACAGGATGCAGAACCAAAAGATTTAAACTACAGGATATGAATTTGATGTGCTGAAATTCCCACTCAGAGATGCAAATATAAAAGCACAATATGTTTTGAAAGCAAATGTTACTGACTAGAAAAGAGAAGTTCCACAACTTTACAAATGTACCAAAATAAGAGTTACTAATAGACTTTCTGATCAGACATTTCAGAAGAGAAAGCTAAGAAATCCTCATTCAGTTCCATTCAGCTAGCCATAAAACCATACCTATGAAAGTATGTATCCATATCATATTTTCTATGAAGAAAGTAACATAAATTTAGAGAATGAAACATTTGTATTTTTATTTTGAGTATTAGAAGCCACACAGATCATAAAAGGTTGTAAATGTTATATATTCAGTTGAAGCTGTCAAAATTGTTCATCAGAAGAGCTAGACAATGCAGCACCTTTTTATTAAAATTCTCATTCACTCTGCAGATTTTGTAAGGAACAGAGATAAGGCCGAGTCACGCAGCTAAGACACAATTCCTGTGTTTCCCAAATTCAGCATGCCTGAACTATGTAAAGATAGGCTTCGCTTAAAAGATAAAGGAAAGCTGTGGTCAATATCCCCATTCTGAGCAGCCACTCTATAGTTACAGCATGATGACTAAAGGAAATTTATAAGAGACTGAAAAGAACTCTAAAGGATACCTAAAATATAGAGGAAGAAAGAAATCAAGGAGTAAATGAATAAACAGCTAAAAACTGCTTCAGGTGATTTTTCTTTTTGTCATCTGCTTCAAATGTGTTCTAGTCTATCAGTTTCAAAATAAATACCTTTTAGCTGTCCCTGAGTACATAAAATAACATGAATACAAATCACTATGGCATTTATTGCTATAAATACAAGACACTGCAGTACTCACCGGTCTTTCACTACGATGTCACCACAGGACTGACAGTAAATGATGTAATTCTTGTTGGGTTTCAGGCTTTCCCTCAAAGTAAAAACCACATCTATAGATGGAAGAAAATATATTAATCTTCAAAATTGTGCAAAATTTTCAGTCACTTGTACAAAAAAATCTCGTCAAATACCTCAAATCAAAAAGGATAAATCTAACAGACAAAGAAAAAGGCTGACATTTTAAACACAACCTTAATTTTTTTAGAAGCAAGTATTTAGATTTAGGAAAAACTTGTCATCTCCACCTAATGCCCCACTACTGAGTAGGAATAATTGCGAATAATTTTCAACATGCAAATCCTCTTCAGAAAGGGAGTTGATATATTTATTTAATTGCAGAGATTATAAAAATAAAAATTCAAAGCAACTCTTTTTTTTGATATTTTGGATAATCAGTGTATCTGCAGTATGAGGGGACATACCAATATGTAACACAAATTGTCAGGACAGGGAGCAGGGGCAGACACTAGTTTTACATTTTCAGGCAGGTAAGAAACCAACCATTGTGGAGCCACTACAGGAAAAGATAAGAGAGCAACGGCCTCTGCAGGCCAGGAAAACAAAAATGGTCTCACAAAAGGCAGCTCAAACAACTTCTCCAAAGTGGAAAAAGAAGCTATAAAAACTGCCCCAAATTATCTGATAACATTAAGGAAAAGTAAAACTATAAGCCTAGCTCTACATATGAATATGCTTTGCATCTCCCACTTTCTCATACTTAAGAATCAAAGTATACTCTCAGCACTGACATTCAATATTTGAAATTTAGGGTTTAATCACAAGGGAAAAGTACTTAAAAAGGTTCCAGAATTTCAACTACTTTACATATTAATATAAAATATCAAAGGGTAACTAAGACTATCCAATATATACATTGATTACTACCTGGTTCACATAATTATTTTTCACTGGCATGACCTTCCAAACTTGATTTTTAAAACCTCATCATTGGTCTTTTGAAACATGTCTCGTTAATAGGACACATTAGATAATTTTAGTATAATTGAGTTGTCAAAGCACATGCATAATTACAGATTAATGTACAGATGCCACCTCAGCATACCAATTCCAATATGTTTCTGGTGCTGCATTAGTGTATATTACATATTTTATCATACTTTTCTACTTTAAAAGCTCAGAATGGCAATTTTATGTTATTTAATATATCTTTCTGTGTCACATCGTATGAAATGAATCTAAACATATTGAGCTTGGATTCCAGGATGAAAGAAAGCAACAGCTGTACTACCATGCTTTCTATTTATTGCAAACACATCCTAGATCTGAATTAGCATCACAGAAATAAAGAAGGTAACTTTGCAGATGTTATCTGTGACATTAACCTCTGAAACCCCAGCTGTGAGAATAATGAGCCCCAAACAAACCCGTAATCCTTTATGATTAAGCGGTCAGGGATGGACAAGCATAGTCTAATTGCCTGGATAAATCAGATTATTACATTACCAATAGGACGGGGAGTAACGGGTACAAATTTAAAGAATGTAAATTCAGGTTAGATATTAGGTAGAAATTCTTTGCTGTGAGAGTGGTGAGACATCGGCCCAGGGAGGCTGAGGATGCCCAACCCTGGTAGCGTTCAAAGCCAGGGAAGTCCTGGAGCTACCCGGCCTAGCGGGACGTATCCCTGCCAGTGGCAGTGCAGACTTGCGACTCGATGATCTTTAAAGTCCGTTCCAACCCCTTAGCATCTTATGATTGTTATTTTCAGCTACCAAACGCGGAAGAGAGAATGATAATAATTTTGAAGTACTACAGGGAAGCACGGGAAGGGGGGGAAATGTGAGCAGATCCCAAACACACGGCGTTTCCCTTTCGTTACGTCACTTCTACACTTTCATTAGGTCCTTTCTGCACTTTCAATTTCTAAAACCGACAATTCCAGAAGGTGTTTCTCTACAGAATCTACGCTTCGCACCCTCCCTCACTTACACCTGCCAGGTCCCCGGGCACCCTCCCCCGTTCCGCAGCCCCGCCCTCACCGGCGCCGGGCGGC